GGGGTCTCTCTGTCCCTGGTGTCACGGGCGGAGTTAGCAGCCTGTGTTTCTTCAAACCGGATATAATGGCGAGCCCGGTTGAGGAAATCTTGGAGGGTGTCTGGCCGATGGATGACCATGGCCTCATAGAATTTGGAGTCCCGGCGTAGGCCTTGCTCTATCAGGTAACGCTTCATATCGTCTGAAGTCGTTACTTGCACCACTTCCTTTATGAACCTCTCGAGGTAGTTCCTGAAGAACTCGTTGGGGGCCTGAATGATCGCGCCCAGCGCGACTTCTGTCTTCGGGTGGCGTCGGGATGCCGTGAAGTGTTGTGAAAAGAGGTCCTTAAGGACGCTCCACGACGTGACGGACTCTGGCTCCAAGCTCTTGTAGCATGTCATAGCGCCTTTCCGCAGGGTCGTCGGGAAAAGCCTGCATTTGATGGCTCCCCAAACGTTGCGGTAGTCGAGCATAGCCTCGATATCTTCCAGGTGGTCATCCGGGTCTAAGGTGTCATCGTACGTCGAGAGCATAGGTGGTTTTTCCATCCAGTGGGGGATGGGAGCAGCCATGATCTCCCGAGACAAGGGGGTCCTGTAGTCGTCCTCGTCGCTGAGAATTAGGGACGGAGGAGGCGAGGGTCCGTGTCGAAGAGGGGGTTGATTTCATACCCTAGGTTGCCTGATCGGGGGCTCCGACCCCGTCGTCCTCTGCTCCTGGGCTCGCTTCTCTTTTCTAGTCGGCGACCTTGCCCGCTTCTTGGAGACAACGGGTTGGGGCCTCTCCAGCTGTGGTCGGCGACTTCGTGGACGTGGTGATGGACTCCGCGAGTTCCCGTACAGCTCTTCCCGCGAAGGGGAGCGGGACGGGGCCTCATGTTCGAGTGCGCCAATGCACTGGTTCTATTGGAACAGCATCTGATTTGTCTGGTTGATGGCTGTAAAGAAGGCGACCATCGTCGGGTTCGCGCCAGCCGGAGTGGGGATGGGCTGGAACACTGCTGGGCTTCTTGCCCGAGGAATCTCGTGGTGCGGTGTGTCCTCGGGGGAAGGGGATGCAATCTGGCCGTCCCTGGCGTCGGTCTCACAGAGTAGATAGGTCCCTATGTGACTATCACCGTCGATGGTGAGGACGACGGAAGAGTTGTGAACAACATCATCATTGCGTGGGCTAGTCATGATTCTAAAGATTTGAAAGGTGAAACTTTGGTTCTCTGCTCGGAGGAACGGAGAAGTTTAAGTTCCCATAGACGGCGCCACTGGTCTGACCTAATCAGAAGGGAATCACTGGACCGCCACACGTCTTTGATCTGCTGCTTATTCACCGGTGGCAAGAAGGGGGAGGGGAGTGTACCTACAAGACACTCCGATGCCAAAATGAGAGAGGACCAGAGTGAAGCAAATACAGAGAGAAGGTGTAGAGAATAGAATACTTGACCCTCTAGTGAAAGAAGGTATTTATAGTGAGACCCCAGCGCATGGCCAACGGTCATTTGCGTTGGACTGGATGGCCAGGCCCAACCCAAGTGACTGCTATGGCTTACGTGGCGTAGTGAAGAACAGGACATGGTTTTTGCCCTAGATCAACTGTCCCGTGATCTCCGGAAGGTGGGATGACCTGCTCTTTCGGAGGTGGGTAGTTGTCTGATGACGTATCCCCGCGAAAGGGAGCACGTGGAGAACGTGTGAGGCACACGTCTTTCTACCCGACGGGGGAAGCGTTCTGCCCGACGGGGCACTCTCTGGTCGACGGGAGACCTGTGCTCGACACATATGAGGAAATCTCCTTTGGGCCTTTCCCCAAGCATAGGTGGGCTGGCCTTCTTGGTCAGGCCGGGGCCCAGGCCAGAACAGTATTTAACTACATACTTTCTTTCTTTTTTGTTCTATTATCGATTTTTTTTTGTTAAGAAGTTGTTTAGGGAGTATAAAATTTAAATTTTGATGTTAATTGATGTTATATTATATATATTTGTGTCATTTATGAGGTATTTATAGGTTTCTAAATATATGTGCATGTCATACATATGACACTTACAGGTTTTTAGTAGTCAATTTTAATTTTTCATAGACTCGTACGAGTCTGCGTGTTGAACCTATGAGTCGAGTCTACGAGTCTGAGTAGACTCGCAAGTCTAACAACCTTGTTTGTAATTCTCAACCAATAGATATTGCTTCATTCAATTTTCTAAATATATCTCACTTTCATTTTCTATATTCTTGCCATTCATGCTTTATTTCTTCTTAAGTTATTCCAACAAATCATTACCATAAAGCATTGGTTTGATTAAGCTTTCATTAATGACAAATGAAAGCACAACCTGAAACCAACTCCTAACAAATCTACCAATGTTCAAAGGAGAACACTGTCATAGATGCATATGGTGCGAGAAAAATGAGAGTCGTATTCAGATTTTAAGATGTTCTTGAAATCATGAATGATAGTTTGCATACATTAGAAGCCAATGTAACTGATTTGCAAAAGGATGCTCATCATGAGTCGAGTAAGAAAGATGGAAAATGTCTCTTCTTGATCCATCAGCTTGTGGATTTGAACATCTTTGAGAAAATTATCAAAGAAGAAACAGCTAAGGGTGCATGGAATACGCTCAAGAAGTTATATGGTGGTGATGATAAATTGAAGAAGATGAAGTTGCAGTCATTGAGGAAGAAAAATGAGAATACGTAAGTAAATGAGGGTGAAGCAGTTGCAATTTTCTTTTAAAGATTGGTGTTGCTAACCAACCAATTGAAATCACGTGATGAGAATATTACTAAATTGCAGAAGGTTGAGAATGTATTGAGAGCTTTAATAGCAAAATTTGATCTCATAGTTGTGGTTATTGAAGAATCCAAAAACCTTCTTGAGATGAAGCTTAAAGAATTTCAAACCTCATTGAAGGCTCATGAGATGAGATTGAAGTAGACAAGTTCTAATAAAGTGACAGAACAAGCACTATCAGAAAAGTTCTTCAAGAAGATGAAATATGATGTATCAAAGATCAACAAAGCAAAAAAAATGGAATGATTAAGTTGCTGGAAAAATTAAAATGAACCAGAGGATATTGATGCCTTCAAAAACAGGAAATTCAAGAGGAAGGGCGATATAAAGGAAGTGTAATACTATTGCTGTAAAAAATTTAGCCACTATACAAGATATTTCTACTTTAAAAAAGATTCCAATACAAGTGACAAAGAAGAAGCACAATTTTCACATGTAGACAATAGCGACTCTGATGAGGTTTTCCTCAAGGCTAATACGCTTTTGACCAAAGATAATACCAAAGTGTGGTATTGGGACATAGACTCTAGCAACCATATGACTTGGAACAAATACTGGTTTATCAAACTTGACGAATAAGTGAAAAAAGCCATTATATTTAATGACAATAGAAAAGTCACATATGAGGCCATTGTGAACATTCATGTAAAGAGGAAAGATAGATAAGAAGCAATAACTAGTAATGCTCTATATGTTCCTTCTATGGCAAGTAAACTGATTAACTTAGGTCAGTTGCTTGACAAAATCTACACCATAAAGATAGAGAACAATTAAGGTGTTTGATGCAAATTATAAACTAATTTGGAAATCAACTTGTCAAACAATAGGACTTTCAAAATTACGATCAATATGCTTGACCATCAATGTCATGCATCAACAATTACTTACTGATTATCAAAATTGGGTATGATATCATAGGTGTAACCATCTGAATTTCAAGAGTCTTAATCCCGATGCATATGAAGAAAATGGTGTATGGTCTTCCTCTTATTAAAATACCAAAGCAAATATTGAAGAATGTTGTGTAGCCAAGCATGTAAGGAAGTCATTCAAACATGACTAGCCTATGAAGTCAAAGCAAAAATTAGAGATTATCCATTCAGATGTCTATGGACCATTTGAAGTGAAATCAATAGGAGTCAAGTGCTATTTTCTAACCTTCATAGATGAAATCACCATATATGTGTGGATTTACTTGATGGAGAAGAAAAGTGAAGTATGCAGTCCTTTCAAGAGATTTAAGTTGGTTGAAAAACAAGTTGAATATAGTATTAAAAAAATTGAGAACTGATGAAGGAGGTGAATATACTTCCAATGAGTTTGCACAGTTCCGGAGAAAGATGATCGTGAAATTATAACTCCTTATACACCTCAACACAATGACATTGCTTAAAGAAATAATATGAGCATATTGAACATGGAAAGAAGCATACTCTAGGCTACACAAATGCAAAACAATTTGTGGGGAAAAGGAATCTCAACTATTGTGCACATCATTAACAGATGTTAAACAAAGAATCTAATAAGAAAGACACCATGTAATTCATGACTTATAGCGAGATTACTTGTGATGCAAATTAGTTACCTGCAACACAAGTCAACCCAATTTAGCTATGCCATTGAAAACCTAGTTAGTTAGTTAAGGAAGTTAGTTGTCCACTACCTATAAATAGGCTGTTTATGTAATTTGTTTTTGTAATCCCCAATCAATAGACATTGTTTCGGTCGATTATCTAAATATACCTCACTTTCATTTTCTCTATTCTTGTCATTCAAGCTTTCTTTCTTTTCAAGTTATCGCACCAGGATGGACACAAAATTGTAGCTTATTTTTCTAGTTCAGCTTTTAGTATACTATGACCTATTATTTTTGTGCTTAGTGTACTTGATCCTTGTATGTTATCCTAACTTTTATTCAATTAATTGCAAACTCCGTTAATTTTTTACGTATTTTTTGCAAGTTAAACCCAACTTTGCAAGAATGAAAATGTAACAGTAACAAAGAAGCAATGCCAAATTTAAAATAAAAAAAGAAATATAACATGCCTTGATGAGAAAAAGTACGTTAAAATCTATTTAAATCTAAATAATTCGAACATGTTCTTTACCCTAATCAAAAAAATATACAACTTCACAGATTTTTTTCCCAGGACTATTCCCAACAAATCTTTGTCTTAGACTACATTTGTATATGGTACTTCAAAATGAATCCAAACCCATTTTACTATTTCAACATTTCAAATTCCACGAGCAAAGTAGTCCTCGCAAAGTGAAAGAGACACCAGCATTTCTGCCAGCTTTGCATCATTATCATCATATTCCACGTTAGATGTTTCCTGCATTCGCACCGCAGAAATGTTTCCATCAAGATATGTAAAACTCACATAAATACAAAACTTGAACACAAAGAAGTCTTACTTTGAAAGCAGAAGTATCAACAGCAAACTTGAGAGAATCTTCTGCAGCTTGTGTTTGGAGATAACACATCCCCGTCTTTAGACACTTTCATCATACAGACAAAAATAAAATCACTCAGTATTTTCATTTGGTGCAAACCCTGCACACAGTCCTGTGTTCAATATTTTTCATTCCGTTTAATATAAAACTTTCTACCTTGGACCATGCATAGAAATGCAGGGTAGTTAGCTTTTCAATGGTGGGTTCAGCCATGTGAATATTTAAGCTTTGACTCTGATCTATGTAGCATCCTCGAGCAGCTGCCATATCAACCAATGTTGTATTTCTTATCTCCCAAATAGTTCTGCTCATACAAATTAAGTTAAAGTGAATACATTATTAAAGCAATCTTTTGGTTATTTGAGAAATCTTAAAATTAAATACTTGTATATAGACTTCAGCTCTTCAGGTATTTCTGGAATATTTTGAACCGAACCATTTCCATGAATAATCTTGTTCTTGATTGTCGGAGACCATAGTCCCATTTCAGTCAAGTCATGAAGAAGATGCTTGTTCACGGAAACAAATTCACCACTGCGACAAACAACTAGCACATTAGATAGGACAATAATACAGCAAGTCAGAAAGAATAACATGAGAAAGGAAAGCAAACCTTAAAGCTTGACGATTGTAGATATATGAAGTGTATGGCTCAAAACATACATTATTTCCAAGAATCTGACTAGTGGATGCAGTTGGCATAGGGGCCACCAGAAGTGAATTTCTAACACCCGTTTTTGATATCGTCTCTCGAAGTTCTTCCCAATCCCAACGATTTGAGGGTGTCACACCCCACATGTCTGGTTGAAGAATTCCCTGGGCAATATAAAAATTACCTAAGGAACTAGAAATACCTTAGACATAGAGAAGCTAATTTTAACCTTGGAATTTAAATTGGAAAAGCCTCTAAAGTCAAGCACCTTGCTTAAAGGGCTGCCACTATATGTCAAATAGGGACCTTCTTTTGCAGCCAAGTTAGATGAAGTTTTTAGAGCATGATAATATATAGTTTCAAATATATCCATGTTCAACAGTTGAGCCTGCATTAATATCCAAATAAATTGTCAGACTGAAGCACATCTAAATTAAAATGGATATAAACAGCATCCTGAAAACAAGGTTTACCGCTGGTGAACTAAATGGCATGCCAAGTAGTATGAATGTATCAGCAAGACCCTGAACGCCAATACCTAGAGGTCTGTGCCGTAAGTTAGACAGAATTGCGTTTTTAACTGGGTAGTATTTAACATGAATTACTTTATCCAGGTTTGTGGTGACTATGGCGGTAATCTGTAATGAAAAAAGCACAATGTACTAAGTTAAAGTATACATGTTGCAAAATAGTAACGTAACATCGGTTAATGTTAACAATAACTATACCTCTGCTAGTTTATCGAAGTCAAAATATCGATTTCCAGAACCCATGCTTCCAACAAGCTTGGATGGATGAGATTTCATTGGTACGCCCTATAGTATGGAGACATACATTCAAATCAGGAAGGAAATATCAGTTTAGAGACAAATCAAATCATCAGAGGACAATACATGAAACATACAATAGAATTCCAACCTTTTCTCTTACACACTGTGGTAGTGCAATTGATGCCAGACTGCACGCAGCAGTTTCATCTTGACTTGAATACGCCATTATCTCGGCACACAAGCTTGACGACTTAATTGTACCCAAATTTTGATGGTTACTTTTCCTATTGCAAGTATCCTGGAATAAACATAAATGTAGGATTCATTCAAAGGATAAAAACAAAAGGTACTAAATCTAGTGAAGCTGGAGTGAATAGAAGAAGTACTTCGTGAAGCAGAAGTGCAGGGTACCTTAAAAAGCATGTAAGGAGTTCCAGTTTCTATCTGTGCCTTCAGTATTTCAAACCAGAGTAGCTGTGCCTTAACAACCATTGTTGCTTTTCCCTATGTATATTTAACAAAAAACAATTATGGTGCTTCTAAGCAAAAACACCTCCTGAAGCAAGATAGTATGAGATTGAACTTACTTCTCTTTCATAACGATGATAAAGCTCCTCAAATTCTTTACCCCAACAATCTGCCAAACCTGGTGATTGATTGGGGCAAAACAAAGACCATTCCCCATTACTCTGAACCCTTTCCATGAAAAGATCAGGCACCCAAAGAGCATAATAAAGATCCGGAGAACGGTTCTCTTCCTGCAAACATAACATCAATACATATCAATAGTGTTAAAAAAGCACAATGATAACAGTCAAGTATAACACCATGAATCTAACCATACTTTCCCATGATTTTTTCTTAAATCCAGTAAGTCAAATATGTCAGCATGCCATGGTTCCAAATACACAGCAAATGCACCTACAAAAAATAACGAATCTTGCAGACAAGGAAAGACAACATAGAAGGAGTCACTAGATATAGAAATTGCTTAATTATTCACCTTTCCTCTTGCCTGTCCCGTCATCAAAATGGCGTACAGTATCATTATACACGTGCAGCATTGGAACAATGCCATTGGATGTCCCATTAGTCCCAAAAATGTAACTTCCTCTAGCACGAATGTTGTGAATAGAGATACCAGTTCCTCCAGCTGATTTACTGATGACAGCACACTCCTTCAAAGTATTATATATACCCTCTATAGTATCATCTTTCATGCATAGTATAAAGCAACTATTCAACTGCCAAAAGAACAATCACTTGAATGAGGTCTCAGAACTTAAATTCATCGATGTATGAGAAGAAAAAAAAAGAAGCTAAAGAGCGAGAACGTGAACTGTGAACAGAGGATCATACTTGGGGATTAGGTGTACCGGCATTTAATAGAGTCGTAGACGCATGCGTAAACCACAGTTGAGACATCATGTGGTAAGTCTTGACAACAGATTCTATATCCCTCTTGTAAATGCCAACAGCAACCCTCATTAACATGTGCTGAGGCCTTTCCACAACCTTTCCTTGAATTTTGAAAAGGTAGGATTTCTCAAGGGTTTTGAAACCAAAATAGTCGTAGTCAAAGTCCCTGTCATAGATGATCTCACTGTCCAAACGAGCAGCATTCTACAACCAAACAATAAATAATAAAAGTTCTATCCATCGCATCAAAATTTCAAACAAAAGAACAATCTTCTCATGTTTCAAAACAATACCAAATAAAATGCAAAAGATACCTCGATAATAATCGCATAGACATCATAGGCGATCAGAGGAGCATTGAATCCAGATGTCTCATCAAAATTATTGTACAAGATCTTTATCCTAAACCCGCCAAAATTATAAACACATTAACAAAAAATCACACTAGCTAGCCCAAAATTAAATAAATTTTATACTTACGTCTCCGAAAAGGAATTATTCGTGTTCTTGTGCAGATTAGAAACAGAAACCCTCACAGCCAACTATAAAAAATAACAAACAAAACAACCACAGTTACAAAATTAGTAATCCAAAAACACTAAAAATTATACAACATTCTTTATGAAGGCTATAAGGTTTTAAAAAACAGTTTTAGCGGACGCGATAAAATGGCATCGGCCGGTACCAAGACTGATACCATTATTCACTGTTTTTATGTTAATGAACAAATTGTAGTTAATTCACACCGCGACGACTGCAATTAACGTCGCGACCGATGAAAATTGCAAAAGCCTTTACGCGGCTGATATTTAAAACCTTAATTACATTTCTTGATTTACATGTGAAAACCTTTAAGCAACTTACGGTAGCATAGTCAGGATGGATGACCGCCATGCCAGCAGCGGTTTCAGCCGCGAGTTCATCGAGATAAGAGGTGGTAACACCCTTGTAGACGCTGGCGCAAACTTTCTGAGAAACCAAAACGGGATCACAGTGCTCGGGATTCAATCCATGGCTGAGTTCCTTGATACGCGTGGTTATCTTGTCGAATTGAACGGGTTCTTGGCTTCCATCTCTCTTTATCACATACATTTTGGTTTTTGGGGTTTGAATCGTTTGATCGAAAATCGAAATGCGAAGAGGAATGATATGGTTGAAGAGTGAAGAGTGAGTTTTGAAAGTTTGAAATTACGGTGATTTTCCCGCCATTTTTTATTTTGGTTGTTGCGGATCGTTAGATTAGTTTTAGTTCGGTACTTGTTTTTTGGCTCGTAACTTCTTTGGGACTTTTCTTGATATGTGTTACTTGTAACTACTCTTTTGTTAGGAATTTTTTGGTATCAATACTTCTTAGTTCTTATTCGTAGTTGGAAAATGGCAAAAACGGTTATAAAAATTTATTTATTGATAAATTGAAGATAAATGAGTAAATTTAATTCTTTTGGTCATAGCAAAAGTTACAATAGCAAATATCAATTGAAAGGTCCATCGAATTGGTAGACTTTCATTTTAATTAGAAGTAGACGATTTGTCCTTTTAACACATCGATCATTATTTGATTTAATTTGACGGTTGTCCGTATAGTAAATTGTATCATATGTGAAGTGGTTGTTCGTACCAGTTCCTCCACCGATTCAAAATCCCACATCACCATTTCACCAAACACTCTGGTTCCTTAGCACAATAGTGTCACCGCCTATGGAAAACGACTTCTGATTCCAGCTAATTTCCACAAAAAATCATTATTTCTCAACCAAAAACTCATATCATCAATCTTCTTTCTTGAAGCCTCAATCTACTCTTTACATAAATCTATTGTCAAACTCGTCAAACATTGTGACATCCAAAATCACTTGATTTGTCGTTCAAAAACAAGTTGTGAGTTTTGTTGGCTCTGAAGATGCCAAAGTTCCACAACTTTCTCCTCCTTCTATAGAAGATGATCCAATTCTAATGGCATCTCCTTCTATGATAACCATTAGAACATTTAAGAGAATATGGGATTTTACACTAGCACTCCCTTTCCAAGCTCTTCTCTCCAATTCCTTTATTTTTCACGTACTCATAGAAAATAGTCTCTAAAACCTAATTTTCATCTCTAACTTTAGAATACATACTATTTTATTTAACTTTTCTAAATCACACTTTTTTTCCAACTAAAGTTTAGCCTTCCTCCACTCGTCACTAAACTCTCTGAATTTCCAAAATTGACCCAATTTTACGTATTCTCTCTAATTTTTAATTAATTAATTAATTAATTCTCACTAAACTAATTAGTTAACACAAAACACCGCTGGTATCGTCATTGGCCAAACATGTCATATATCCACAAAATAATCATTTAAATAAATTACTCAATTAAATTAAATAAATAATTAAATAAGTAAACATTTAATTCGGGGTGTTACAGCTGCCAAGAAAAACCGGTCCAAAAAAGACAGGAGTTCGGGAAGAGGTTTGAAACCATGAAGGATCGGCATGAAGCGGAATAATCTTCTACCTGTGGCCGAAGATACTGGGTCTTAGAGACATCGTAAGAGGTGAACAATGGGCAATACACAAGGTTTTTCCTTCACATGTTCACACCAACACTGGTAGAATCTCATATGTGCTCAACACGACGGGTAAAGTTGCGAGGGAGCCACTACCATATGAGTTAGTACCTTTATCTCAAAAGCAGTAAAAGGAAGACGAATGCCCATGACGGAGAAAGCGCATTCGTAAAAAGGAATGACGCACGTGCTATACTGGTCACATACCCTTTCTTCTTAAGAAGGAATTCTAATTCCCCAGCCAGAGGACAAGCCTACCTCTGTAGGAACTGTCGCGATGAGAATTGGATATCAAGCTATTGATTAACTTGAATCGCAAATCATTATTCACCACCGGTCTTTAACTTATCCAAGAGAAGGGAAAAAGAGCGAATAACCCATGAGTATGCAATGCAATGCAAAGTTAGAGAATCTAAGGTTCGGGGTTGGTTATACTTAAGGAAGGTGCTAGCATCCTAGGTATCTGTAGTACTCTACAAGAACCTCTTGTTTTATTGTGTTATTTATTATTTTGTCTGCTAAAGGATAAAGGTGAAGGGAGACCTAAGGTATTATTTCTAAGTATGCTCGTCAAGGCATCGCATCTCGTGCCTACGTATCCTGACGGGAATGGAATCAAAGCATTCGTAGTTCCCATGAAAGGGTAGATAAAGTATATTGATTGTTTTAGGAAGAGAGACAAGTTGTCATCTTAAGGAGAGTATTCAACTTAAACCACCACAAACATGTGGAAGACGGTCTTTGCTTCGCATTAGGAGAAAGGTTCTAACTCGGATATAGAATCGACGAGTATGCCACATACCTCTCAAGCGAGAAAAAATCTACATCTTTCTCGACTATGTTATGGGGTAGGAGAATTATATCTCGACTGCAAAGATGACTAATGTCTAATTCTCTTGTGGGAGAATGGGATTTAATCTGTAAGTTTTCTAAAGTTGAAAATCCTAAAGAAATCTATCTTGAGGATACAAGGATGTATATCTATAGTTGATCGACCTGAGGGGAAGTAGGGATCGACTAAATACGTATGATTATAAAATCAAACACAAGTTCTTCCCTTGGATTCATAGCATAAGTAATAAAAAAATATTTAAGGACCATAGATAATTATCAAATAAAAATAGGCAACCAAGATACGTGGTTAAGCAAAGATTGATCATGAAGTCGAGATCGAAAGGGGAAATTCTAGCCTAATGTTATCATGTGATAGTCTGAAGCCTAAAACCTAAGATATAAACATCTATCTTAATTCAATTTGTTGAAGATAAAGTTGAATCAAGAATTCAAGGGAACATAACAAATAAGAACTGTCAAAGAATCGCATCATAACTTCATAGGAAAATTGATGGATAAATAATCGAAGCTCACTAGAAACAATTAAGTTTTAATTAAGATTACTAAAAAACGGAAGATGGAGGCCCTTGTGCCTAGGTACTCCCTCGTGCAATGGGAAAATTAGAGCATCGTAGTTCGCGGGACTACAGGTAAAGGTTTGAGGAAAACGGAAGATGGAGGGAAGGTAGCTCGCTAGGATCTTGCAATCATATACCTACGTATCCTCATTGACAAATGGGAAATTAGAGCGTCTGTAGTTCGGACAACTACGGTTGGTTGGTTTGTGAATGAACGAGTGTTTAGGTCGTATTCTAACTGCTAAACATTTTCTTGTCTGCTCGCTAGGGGAGGCTAAAGCACTAGTTCATATGCGCAGAAGAAGGGACTAAACAATGTTCTTTGGGAAAGTTGTTTGAGTTGTAGATCACACGGGGGCGAGGAATCAGTGTTTGAAGAAGTTTCAATCGCACGGGGGCGAGAAAAGAGATTTTGTCGTGTTGGATATTTTTTTAGATGTGACGATTACCTGAAGCTTGAGAAAGGCCCCTCGAGCCCAAGTAATCGGGGGAGTAAGTCAAAGGCTTGACTTTCTCTTGTTTCCTTCTTGAAAAGAAGTTGTGTTTGGAAAATGTTTTGAACGAGGGAAGATAGTTAAAGTAATTTAAATGGATGAGGATCACTTGAAGCTTAAGAAAGGCTCCTCGGGCCCAAGTAATTGGGAGAATGAGTCAAAGACTTTACTCTCTCTCTTTTTCATTTAAGTATTAAGAAAATATATTTGATTTCGTTTTGCATTACGAAGACAATTGTTTGAGATTAAGAAAGGCTCCTCAGGCCCAAACAATTGAGGAGAAATCGAAGATTCCATTCAAACTCTCTTTTCATCCTTATCAAAATTGAGTTTAAGTATAGTTAAGTGTATTGATTTGGCTTGAAGAAAGTGATCGATGTTAATCGAGGTTTGAATTTACGTGCGAAACGATTAAGGTTTGAACTAGATGGCAAGGAGATCCTAATGGTTTAGGGTAAGGTCGATGGCGAGGCAAAAGCGCTCGACTTACAAGTTGGGTACTTGATATGGTTCAAAAGCTTTAGGGTTCCGATAAACGAACAAGCAATTGAATTGAGTTTTAATTGTGTACACTATCAAAGTGGGCTAGTCTTCTAAACGGCCAACTAGAAATAATTGATCAAATAGGTCTCACTGTAAGAAAGCCCTGGAGTTATGAATGTTGTGCATGGTGATCAAAAGGTTGATGGCGATACTTTGAAAGCAATCGACTTACAAGATAGAAAATGGCTCGACGTTGGATCGAGAATTTATTTTATAAATGGTTTAAAGCATCAGATCACAATCAAGACAAATGAGTAAAGTGCGTACATCTGAATGGAAGCGGGATACACGTATGTGTTGCACCCCAAAATTTGCCCAAGTTTTCTTTACCTAGCTTATGTTTCATTTCATTTACATTAACATTATCACTTTCATTTCATTGACATGTGTGCAGGAGATCAAGAGGTATGATTACCAATAAAGGGCTATGCAAGACTTTGAAGCTAGCTAGGAAGCTTATTCAAGTGTTCAAGGGTTGATATCCTTGTCAGAGAAGTTAAAGGATTCTCAGAGAGAGTGGTTGAAACCAATGTTGTGTGCCTCCTAACTTGAAAGTTGTGGGAGCTCCTCAGATGATTCTGAAGCCAGGAATGTGGACTTGAAGCCTTGAGAGAGCTTATGAGATGTCTTGAAAGCCATCGTGAGGCCTAGGCATGTCATTGTGCAAGATTAAGAAGACTCAGCCATGAGTGGTGCAGTTAGGGTTTGACTAGGTCAACCCTAGGTCAACTGATGATTTGAAGAAGGTTGAGACCTAATTTAAAGGCCATGTGATCATGGATTGATACATTGAGATGTTATAAGGATGATTCCAAGGTCAACTCATCATGATTGAAGAGTTTGAGAAGTTTCAAGCTAGGGTTTCTAAGGCTTGATAGTGTAAAATCCCCTAGTTTGACCCCTATCTTCAGGGCAGTTTAGCTTAAGATGTGATTGTCATCTCATCTTACCCCCAACATGAATGTTGTAGAGCTTGTTCTTAGATTTAATTTGAGTACTAGAAGTCCTTGATAGGATTTGTAGAACTCAAGTTATGACTTTGACAAGTTACAGGTCATCTGAGGTATGTGAATTTGGGGGCTTGAAAGTTG